TTCATCAGATTGAGTAGCATTATACATCATATCTTTTGCATTTTGTAGATCTTTTTTATATATTTTCGTTGTTACATGTTTTCTAGCACTTAATGCACGTTGTAATATAATATCATCATTTTGTGGACGTCTTATAAGTGTTGAAAAATTTTCTTGTTTTAAATTACGATTTTGTTCTATGTCTTTTATTGACTGAAGAATATATTCATAGATTGAATTGTATTGTTGAGGATACTTTCGTGGTGATGAAGGAGTTGGTGAACGATATGATCGTTGTGGTGAACGTGGACTATGTGCTGATAAAGATCGTGAAGTTGATGAACCGGAACGGGACCTGCTATGCATTGGTGATGATTTTTTTGTTTTTGGTTCTTCCATGTGACTATATCGATATACAAGATCAGGTGCTGGTGCTATTTCTTCTACTCTATTAGGTCGTCGATGCCATGTATAAGATGATGATGATAATAATGAATCATGTATATTCGAATTTTTCACATTGAAATTAGCCATTCGAGATGTTGTTGGTCGTTTTTCTTCTTGATAAAAATTAGTTTTACGTGGAGATTTATCAAGACATCGTTGATGTTTATTTGAACTATCGTTTGAAAATGTCAATGTTAGAATAGTCGGTGAAAATGTATATTGTTCACGAAAATCTGATAGTAAATCGGTATCAGTAGTAACCATAGCTTTTTCTATTTACTTTATTCGTTGTATTCGAGTGAGAGAATAAAGAAACTAATGTATGGTTGCACTTCTTTTTTTGTTGTCAGACACTTGAATGACAAGTGTTCTGTACAATAGTCTTAATTATAGAACTATCTTAATTCTGTATCTAAAAATTTTTTCAATTTTTAACAATGTTATTTCTTCAATTCTATTCTATACAAATACACTTTCTCTTTATAAACATTGATTTATTGAGGTGCAGTATGAAAATTTCTTTCGTGTTCTTCAATTTTTTCTTTTTTTATTCATCAAGCTTTTAACTACGGTGTTACAATTTCAGTTATATTTTTAAAAGTCTAGAACTTTTATCTAAAATTTGAGTAACAGTAATTCACTCGTCACTTTTTCTCGACACATTATGTTCAAGTGGAAAGATTACTTTTCATGGTCGTCTATCTTCAAGAGTAAAGAAATGTCATTGAACTTATATGAATTAATATTCCGTTTTATTTGAAGAATAAATTTTAAATTTCTCAGAAAGAAAAATTGAGTCAATAATCAATAGTGTCATGAGTTCCTGTTTTTTCTTCTTGATGTTCTTTAACTATCATCATCATTGTCATGATGATAATCATCATTTTTATATTCTTCTCTTCTGACCTTAAGTCAATAGTATACACTTAGACAACTGCAAGGTGAAAAAGGGAAGAGTAACAAAAGAAAGAGAAGAACAGAAAAGAATTCACTGTTGTTGCTATACATCTGATCTCAATACAATCTCTAACTTTATTCCGTTACGTTTTTTTTTTTTCATTTCTAGAAAAAAAAGAACGACGTAAAAAAGCAATCATCATTGGTCGTCACCGTTAAAACTGTAGCAAAAAAAAACATCAAAACATAAATTTATTCATTTTCATGTATTGTGTTATGTCACTTTAATGTCGTTTTAAATAACATTGTATTTTTCTTTTCTATTCTTTTAAATTTAGAATTGTGTTAACGTGTAAGATTATATTATTCAGTTTCGTTTATTCTAATCATAAATCTTCTCTGTTCAAATAAATAGTTTACATATATGCCAACTTCAAGTCAATCACAAATTCTTTCTGTTGTTGATTCTCAGTTACTTCATCAACAACAACAACAACCACAACAACAGCAGAAGGCTACTGGCCATTCTCGAACAACAAAATCACCTGTTCGTATTTCTGTTAATCAAAATCCAGGAAATGAATCGAAACGACGTTATTCAAAAGACGATCATTCTCCACCACCTCCTAATATAATAAATAGACGACGAAGTTCAGATAAACCTACTGATGGTATGTTTAATATAGATTCTATTTTTTATTAATTTTTAACTCACGAAATAAAAAAAAAACTTCTAATTTTTTTCCAGCAAAATTAAGAAATACTCGCAAAGCCCAGAGGCATTGCAGATGTATGCAACATGATCATAATTATCCTTCTGTTCGTAGGACTAGGGGTATGGATAGTATAATTGCTCGCTAAGCTTACAGTTCTTCTTGTCGTCAATAAAATTCTATTCTTAAAATAAAATTATATTTATATGTATATCATCTATTTCCTATATAGTTTTACAATCAGGACGAACAACTCAACGTAATGATATACTTCATATGCCTGTAATATATCTTAATAATGCAAATAGAAATGAACCACGAATAAATCGAACAATTAATACATATGGACAAACAAAATCTACATTTAATGAACCATCAATGGAATCATATCGATATCGTGGATATTCATTAAATTCTGAAAATGATGAACAACTTGATTATTTACAACGATTAAATCAAAAAAAATTCTATCCATTACCAAGAGAAAATGTCTCATCAACATCTGATTTAGATAATATTAATGATGATGAATATAATGGTGATGGAAATCGTGAACGTCGAGGAAGTTTATTAGATGATAATGCTCGTCGATTACTTGTTTTGGGTACAATACGTCCATCAAAAACATTTTATAAAAATTTACCAGATGCTGATGCTGATCATCTTATGGAATATTTTCGTCGAATGAAAAATACACAACATCGAGCAACATCTGAAGAAATCAATGAAGAATTAGCTACTAAAATTGTTGAATATAAACCAAAAATGTGTAAGTTTACTAAATATTTTCTATTCTCTTTAATAAAAAAATATATTTTAGTTTTTGATTCAACTTGTGTAACAAAACATCAAGTAACAAATCTTGAAAAAATCATAGAACAATATGTTGATGAAATTCGTGATCAAAAAGCTGAATTTGATAAACTTGAAAATCCAATGCGTTTTATTATAAAACAAGTTGATAATAATAAACCATTAACAACAATACCACGTGAATATAATGATTGTTTTATAACACTTGCTACACGATCAGATCCATTACGTAAATCAGATTTAATTACTGATCTTGTTCAAGATGATTTTTTAGAAACTATTAAAGCTAATTCATTAGATATCAGGTAATATAAACTCATAAAGAGCGCGTAAAATTCTAACAATAAATATTTTTTCAGTTATTTTCCCGGTGGTGTAAATTATGATGTACCACATGATGATATTGATGAAAATGGTCAAATGAAACTTGAAACATATCAAAAATTAAAAAAACGTTTAAATAATCGTAAAGTCTGGTATTTTAGTGACCCACCAGAAAAACGACCAAATGCTTTATTAGCTATTATTCCATGTGATCTATCAATTAATATTGATCACCAGATATTATATGATGCACTTTGTGATACATTAAAAACATTTTCATCGAATAATAATTCAAATGTTGAAGAACAAATATTATCTATTGAATTTGTTCCTTTAAGTTGTATATTAAATTCACTTGATCAATCAAATCAATTTATTATTGAGTGTGATTCAATAGAAACAAAACGGCAATTAATGGAAAAACCATTAAGAATCATTTTAAATAAACATTCAATAATTATTGAATTACATTCTTATGATGAAGATATTCATCGAGAATATGAGAAATTTATAAAAGCAGAAAAATATCGAGAATTAATTAAAAATCATGATGCAGCAGTTAAACGAACATCAACAAAATAGTAGAGAAAAAAACATGACATATGTTGTTCTTTTTATTTGTTTGAAATAATAAATATGGTCGTAATATACAGATGAAAAAACAATTTTTTTTTAATATTCGAGCAAATAAATGTATCTTCTTTTATTGTGTTTTTGTATTCTTTTTATTGTTTTTAGTAATTATAGTATATTACAGAAGTAAAGAGACACACAAACAAATATAATTAATATCAACAAAAAAGAAATAAAATATTTGTTTTATAGACTGAAAGAATTCAATGAGTCAGGTGATTCTCCGTCGATTTTTTTATTATTTTAAATATTGAATAAAAAAATATTTGCATGAACAAATGAAATTAAGTGAAACATTAAAATGATCGTTAAGTTAATGGCTGAAGTACTCTAAAAATAAGAAGAATTCTTTTCTATATATCTTTCTTTTTTGTGTAGTTTCTTGTTATTGATCTGATTCCGTTGTCTTCAATAAAAGACGGATATTATCCCTCTTAGAGCTTTCGATTGATATATACATTCCTTATAATATGTGATACGATTGATGAAATAAATGATTCTCAAGAGTTTTACAAGATAAAAAGGAATTCTATGGAATGTGGGTTTACACTACTTATATAGTGTATGATCATATCGAGATTTGTCAAGGGACACCATTGGAGTGACGAATTTATATATGAACTTCTGTCTAATTGTTGAATGATTCAAAAGATGAATAACAAAGATATCTTAATATAAATTCCTTTTTTGCTATTAGTATTTTATCACTAGTTTTGAGATTAAAGAATATGTGGACGTGCAAATATTCACTTGATCATGAAGGGAAAGAATGTAAATCTGAATTACGTCATATATTTTTTTTGATATGGTGTGATGGTGTTCTAGAAGGAATGTTATAAGATGCATTCCAAATAACAAAAAATCGAACTTTATTAATAACTTGATTGTAAAAGAGTTTTGTGAAGTGACCCTTGTGAATGACTTTTAGTGTGCGAAAAGATCTATTCGTTGAATGTTTTTTCGATGTAATTCGTTCTTAATTGATTAAATTAATAAAGATTTGAACTCATTTTACGTCATAGAATTTTTAGTATACGTGAAAGTATGTCTTGGAATCATCCCTTAATTTGAATGATAAGAAGATATTTCAGAATTTTTTGTACGTGCGCTTAGAACTTACAAGCCGTTTAGAATAGTATAAATAGAGTCGTTTTTTTATTGTAAATCACAGTCTTCAAGCAATACAATTACACAATGAGCAAGTCGACAACAACGACAACTTCAACAGCTTCAATACTCATCCCTCCGGATGAGTGTTTTCAACTGGTGAAAAATACAGCTAGTGATACAACAGCTACCAAAAACAAAAATAAAGTGGTCTTAACACCCACTATGCGCAAGGTTTGTCTTTATATTACATTAATTAATCATATTCTTTTTTATTATTATTCATTCTAGGTGGTGGCTCAGCGAAAATTGATTCAAAAACAATATCAATTAGCAACAACATCATCGTCAACAACAGCAGCTTCAGCGACAGAAGCTTTTAATAGTAGTGGTGGACGTCAAAAGAAAAATGAAAAGAACAAAAAACCAAAACGCAACGGTTTTGGTCAAGCAGCAACAAATCCAGTTGCTGAAATACCAACAAGTAACAGACAGTGTACCATGTCTGTCGTATGTATCTCGGCGATGCGGTCTGGAGTGTCTGTGCCACTACCTTCAATCGGTGTGATATCAGTAACTCCAAGTGTGTCTATACCGAGAATACCACGGCTATCTGGAAGATCAACAACACCCAACCCACGAAGTCCTGCTCAATCAGGCAAACGGAAACATTCAACATCACCGACATACATCAAGGAACCCACCCATTTCACACGGACATGGGTGAATAATCGAGAAACGTTCTCGATACAAGTCGAGAACATTTTAAATGCCGCCTCATTTTCTCCCACACGTGCTGTGGAAGAGTGTGAGCGGCGTTCCGAACTTACCTCCTACCTCCTTCGGTGGCGTTTAGAACAAGCCGCCAAAGCGACTATTGCCGATTTAAAAAAAATTCTAAAATAAAATCTTTTTTTCTTTAGCATATTTTATATTGAACACAGGAACATATTAAACTTTGTAGTGATACCTAAATGAATGTTTTGAATTGAAAAGTTTCTTTTAAATCAAGTTTGTTGACATATACATAGAAGGTTCTTTCATGGATATAAAATTGTTTTTCAAGTTGTTTTCATTGAAAAATTCTTACAAATGTCTAAAAATTACATAACTTTCTTTTTTAACCACACTTATAATAGATTTGTCTTTTCTATTGTCAATTGCTCGTAAAATATGACTCAAGGAATTATTTGTCATATATGCATTAGGTCAATTATAATAATTTGAAACTTTCCTTAACTTTCTAGAATCTAAAAGAATCAAGGAAGAGTTTGGATTGGTCTGGGTCTAGGCTTAGGTCTGCGTATGAATGAGGATGGGTGCAGGTGTGCTTGGGTGGGTGAATGTGGGTTCTATTAAAAGCGAGACATTCATGCTCACACACGCATTAAGAAGAATACATTTTGTTCTCAATAGGGGTGGTGGCTTAGCATTAATGTAAAAATAATGCACAGGTTTATTTTCGTAAAGGAAACATTTAATATCGATTTATGTACTAAATTGGCATTAGTACCACTAATGCTACTATTAATTCCAAAAAATCAGCATTAATTAGCTTTCGCTGAGAAATAAATCAATGCATTATTTTCAGTTCTAATGCTAAGCCACCACCTCTAGTTCTCAACAATGTTTAATTGCACAGCGCTTAAATCCATTACTTCTTTTTTTCTTTCTTTGCAATAACATTTCTTGTATGTTGTGGACGCTGAATGTATTCTTCTGAATGTTTGCACATTCTCTTACAATAAAATGCGTCGTTGAGAAAAAAGAAAGATGTGGCGAATGTTGTGAGTATATAAAAAACAAAACGAATTATTCCGCGAAGAGAATATTCAATCGCACATACACAGTACCGTTCGAAACTTACAAACTATCAGAATGTTCTCAAATCATTCAAATCTTGAGGGTGTGCGTGTGGGTGGGTATGAGTTAACAGATAACACCCACACCCACACCCACACCCTAGTTTTACCTTTCATCCACCCACTACCCCATGGTCAGCCAATAGACCTCAGATTCGAACTCCCCGCATCGGAAAACCTCGGGAAAAGTCTTTTTCAAAAAATTGATTTCCGATGGTTTTTTTACCCTGCGGACACACAAGCAAGCAAGCAAACAAACAATTTATGTTTACTGTACTCTTCTCTACGAGAAAGAGAACTAGTAGGTTCAACAATTCTATAAAATATTTGTGAATGGAAGTATTGTAGATTGCTTGGCGAAGACTCTTTTGAATGCAAAAGCTATCAAAAGTTCAAGTTTGAGAGGAAGTGGTAAAGAATGTAGCCTAGGTGGCTGATGTCAATTCTTAATTATTAATTCTGCTTTAAAATGAAGAAAATATCATCGACAATGAGGAGACAACTAGCGCTCTCTATTCGTCGAATGCGAGATTTACAGTCTTCCTTTTGGAAATCATAAAACGTCGAAGATTTGTTTTGAACAAAGTCTCTATATGGTCATGTTTGTCAACAATATATCTGACAGCGATGCTGGAAATGAGAAGAATAA